TCTTTTAAACTCTTATCTATAATTACACCTACACCATTTCTAGTGCGACTCTTACCAGAATACCAAAGTTTAAAACCTAAATTATCAATCTCCTTAGCCTTTTCTCCCACCCACTTAGTTTCTTGAATACATAAGATATTAATTTATCTATGAATCATAATATCAACTAATTCCATTAATTTACCATTGAGAGTGCCTATATTCCAAGATCCTATCCTAATATTAGTTTCATTAGTTTTATGGACTAACTTCTTTACCCGCATTCGCCCGTAATGTGGGAACCCTTGCTTATTTAACACTACACCCGTGCACCGGTTTAGCGGCCCTAACACACTTTTCACTGTATTCAGGCTATACAGCGCGTCGTTTCCAGGGGACGCCCTAGCACTTACACAATGATCGAAAGGATTCATGTCATGATTTTTTCGACAAGTTTTACGTTGGCTGTCGACTACCTAACGCAACCCTCCACTTTTCTCATTCGGGCTTGGGACCGGCAACGGCAGTGTTTTTTTTAAGTGTTACCCAAATAAACAAAAATACAAAAGTAAAGACAATTAAAGGGGGATTTACATACACAGCACTCAATTCTTTTTTAACTGACAGTTGAAAGTGCTGCTTGTGGGCATCTTATAACTTGTTTGCACAAATTAATCATTATATTAATAAATACGTGATTTATTCCCATATCAGTAAAAACTAAAATCAACAACTGAGCAAGGAGCTTGCTTGGACTCCTTTTTTACACCTTAATTTACAGAGAACCTGATTGTATTACAACAACAACAACAACAACAACATAACTATAACTTGTAGTAGATCAATACCAATTTGTTTACACCTTGGTAAGGAGCTTGCTTGGACTCTTTGTTTACATCTTTGTTTATTCATTTGCTTTTAAGGCCATTTACATACATACCATCCAATTGCCATGCATTTACATATATAACACCCAATTATTTATTTTTTACATTTATATCACCCAAATCTTTCGTGGCACATAAAAAAATACCAATATTTTAACTTTCAAAGGTGTATGCATGTAAATATATACATACCAAAATCTTTAATATCACATAAAAATGGCACTATTACCAAAGTGCTGTGTATGTATATATATATATATATGAAAGTTCAGGTGTGAGACATGTAAATACATAAGAATTGTGTGCTACGTATCTAAATTTTGCTCGCTAATATCACGACTGATTTCTCTGTTTTTTTTTTATGGTTCAATCCAGACCAAACCAAACGAATCTGTGGAGCCTAATGAGTTAACTCATTCAGTTGAGGCACAATCTACACAAATCGAGGAAGCGGGTTTAATATGGGTAGATGACTACATTTGTTCAGTTTGTGGTATAGAAATGCCACCAAGCTTTATTATGGAGAGGGGAGAGCATTCTGATTATCATTTAGCAGAGATGCTCCAAAAAGAAGAAACTTCGTATCGCAGATGTCATCTTGCTCATGAAGGGAGGTAATAACTTTAATATTTACATATCTATCACCTCACCTAAACTTTCATATTTCATATTTACATTCATAACATTCAAATCATTAACATCACATCAAAAATATCAGTTTACCATCCTCTTAAAAAGTCAAATGCACATTTTTATGCACATGTTTATAGCACCAAGGTTTTGTACATGTAAATATCAATCTTTAGGTGTTAGATTTGTGATTCCATAATAATTTTGTGGTACTTATGTAAATTTCATTTTAAACAAACACTTATACTGCATGCAATTTCTAGGTTTGAGCACAGTGCGGCGCACAATAGAGAGAGTGTGAGGAAAAAACAGAAGTGCTCCCCAAAGGAGGTCAAGCATATCCCAATTGAAGCTTTCTTCTCAAAGTGCAAGAAAAACTCATAACTTATGGATATTTGCACTGTGTACATATCTGCAAATAGAACTTGTAATTTCTAATTTGTTGCTTTTGCTTTTTCATATTTTGACATAAGCTAATGTAATCCAATAATTGCTTGTTTTGAATCACAAAAACTGCTATTTAAATGCATGAGTGTGCACTAAATAAATAAATAAATAAATAAATAAAATTCAGGAGTTTAGTATAAATTATTAATTTTGATCATGGATTTGCTGCAATTGCAATCTTTTAATGTTAATCGCATGCACATCATCTCCAAATATAGACCGAGGAATCAAAAAATTTAAAATTAATTTATTAATTCATAAAAAATCTTATGTGACAACTGATTCGTAGCGTTGTCAAAAGAACTTGTTATTTGCGAACAGTTCGTGTTCAACTCGTTAAATAATTAGTGTTTGAATCGTTCATTAAGCAAGTAAGTTGAATGAGATTAAAGACTTGCTCATTCGTGCCCACCTCGTTTTAGCTCGAAACAATCAAATAATTAAATAATAATTCTAAAAAAATTTAACTTTTACTATTTTTAAAAATTATTTGGGTGGTGTAATTATGAAAAAAAAATATAAGTTTAAGTGTCAAATATGCAAATGCATAGGATTGGGTTCTATATATGTGCGTAAATGTCCCTAAAATAAGAAAAATTATTTCATACGGATCGGACACGGCATGCATCTTGCGTGCGGTGACCGAAGCTTTACGGTCAGGATCTATTTCGGTGGGCCCCATCTAATTTTATTTTTTAAAGAACTGAAATAATCCTGACCGTAGATCACCGTGATCTACGGTCAGGATCAGACACCGCATGCAGAGATGCATACGGTGTTCGTATGCAATAATTTCTCCTAAAATAAGCAATTTATGTTGCTAATATGATATATAAAATTAGAGTAACATAAATGTAAATAGCCGTTAGAAATGGGAATGTATACGAGTCAGTGCTATGCACTTAAATGCCCCTTTTTTAGTTTCTAAACTTTATAATGAATTGCACATTCTAAAAAAAATAATTCAAAAACAAATATCCAGGTAAAAAACAAAATTACAGCAACATTAGTAACAAAATGCAAAACATCAATATAAATATAAATACAATAATATTTATGATGTGATGTTCAAACTTTAAAGTAGAGCAACCCTAATTCAGCAGGGAAAAGATTTGGAAACTAATTAAAATAATTAAGTTTCTTAATTTAATAGCAATAAATTAATTAAATTATGTTTTTAATCCCAACAGGCAGCGGTAAATTCGAGCCTGATACGCTAGTAACATATCCGGCACAATATTTCGAGGCATGACAGTAAACTCGAGACAATATTTTGTGTGAGGATATTCAAATTTTGATAAAAATTCATCTGGAACTTCGATTTCAACAAATTTCTGGTCAAACCGACCTGCTCGATAAGAGAAACCTAATGACATCAAAGTTAGTCCAATCCGAGTTAAATCAAGCCCAGATCAAGTCATTTAACGGCTTTTGGAAGATTTCAAGATATATTTGGAAGGTCAAACGGATGTCGAATTTGACAAGTTTATAGTCGAATCGAGTGTCTCGACAAAACAAATCCAGCGAGCCCAAGATCACTCAATTCATACATCATTAAGATATTCAAATATTCGTTAAACACCGTAAGATTGAAGGAAGCTATCCAGAACATTTGATCAAAATGATTCATATTCCTGCATTAATTGCACCAAGAATATTATAAATATAATCTCACCCCTCTCATGAGGGGGAGCTTAAGCCTAGAGAGAGATAAAACAGGCCTTGAGGAGGAACTGCAGCTCATCGTCACCACCGACCGTCGTCGACCATCACCGATTGTTATCGATCCCTGTTGACCTCCACCAACCCTCGTCGACCGCCGCCGCCCTACATTGACCGCCGTCTTTCATCGTCAGCCACCGCCTACCTCCGTCGACCGCCGGATTCCAAACAATGGATTTTCGAGGCTTGGGGCCGCGCCGCTTGAAAAAAGCGGCCCCAAACGGAGCCCTAGTTTACACCCCCACCGATTCATTGGTTCAGACTCCGGTTTTGACCGATTCACTCCTAGAGCGGTTTTGGACATTTACCGAGTCGATTGAAGGATCAGTTAATGATTTATCCAATCGATCCAACTAACTAACAACAAGAAGTAGATTAGAGGGATGAAAAATACGATAATCCTAAAATAATCAGAACGATCAGTAAATAGGTGCGACAATCCAACAAAGAATTCATAAGAAAAAACAAAGTAAATTATGAAGCACAAAAAATAGAAGAGTTAAAACGGCAGAAGCAACTTCTTCATTCGTAAGTCTATCATACATACCAATCAATTCTTATGTATTTACATATTTAACACACAAACTTTAACTTCTTACATATATGCCATTATATCCATACATTCAAATATAAATAGTATGTTTCACATTTATAAGTTAAAAAAGAGTAATTTTTAATATGATATGAAATATTTGTGTGGTATAAATATAAAAAGCATAGTTTACTATTTAGATATGTCAATATAAAAGAGTTGGTTGATATTTATATTTATGTAAATGTGCTAAAAGAGTTGGTTGATATATTAAAAATTTCCAAACTTTGTTTACAATTAATGTGCTAAAATCATAATATTTGACTGCAGCCTTTTTGTTCGATTCAAAGTTTTAATAAGAGCATGATAGCATAATTTATAAATATCATATATTTGGAAAAAAATTATATTGTGTTCGTCATCTGCACCTGCTTACGACGAATGACTGAGCGACAACTCGGCATATATCTCATCTACATTTGAGATGGACGCCAACCATGCCGAGTTGTCGCATGACCATTGGTTGTGTGAACAACCAGACAATATTTTATCATATAATAAATTGAGAAATTTTTTTTTGCTAATAAAAGACTGTCAGCATGTACTAAATTCTGATAAATTATTTCGAACTCACCAATAATGTCATAATTTACGATCTAAATAATTTTGGATCAGATTTTCATTAGGTGAGGAGTTCAAATACTACATATTAACATATTAGGCTCATTTCCAAAAAAAAAAAAAAAAAAAAAAAAAGGGAAAAATTGTTCATCAAATATTATGCTTTTAATTTTAATTCAATAATAATAAACTTTATAAAAAATAAATACAATTCAACTTTTAATTGATAAATTAGGTATTTTCATGCCAACTTCCCCGTCTTTGCTTTGTACTTCTTCTGTTACCTTCGGATCTGTCCCTCGTCGTCTTCTTGGTCTCTTTCCTCAAGTGACTCCTACATAGGAAGAGACAAGCGCTGTTCCGTCTTTCTTCATCTTCTACGTCTTCGACCCAATTTCTTTCTGTTTGCCTTCGTTGCAGATTCATTCTCTGCGAAGCAAATAGACGACAAGACCTCCATATTTGGGCCCTCTTTGAATCGATTCCACGCGCATTTCTGCTTTGGGATTCTCTAGATAAGACTAGGGGGTGAAAGGTAGGAGCATTGACGGGGAAGGGGGAAATGGAAAACTATCTCAACGAGAGCTTTAGTGGTGTTAAGCCGAAGAATTCTTCGGAGGAAGCGTTGCGGCGATGGAGGAAGCTTTGCGTTCTGGTGAAGAACCCCAAGCGGCGCTTTCGCTTCACTGCTAATCTCTCCAAGAGGTCGGAGGCCGAGGCCATGAAGAAAACTAACCAGGTCTTGGTCCTTTTTAGTCACTTTATATGGTGTTTTTCTTAATTTGGGTTTCTGTTTCATTGATCGCTTTAGCATCAGTAATACAATTCACTTTCGAATTGAGTAGGAACATCGCTTTGGATCGGATTGAGTTTTCTCAGAAAAATTAGTGCATCTTTTTTCATGATCCAGATAATCTTGGTGTCCTGAATTAAAGCTCTAATTCCCTTAATAAATAAAATTTTATTGCAATATCTGTTGTGTTAAATTTGGCATGAATTACTTTGTTCTTCCCCAAGAGGTTATTTCTGCCCCTTGTCGACAGTTCTTCCACTGAATTCCAGTGCACGAAGACATGGGATCAGCTTTAATATGCTATTAATTCGTTGTGTTTGTTTAATTACTGCTGTATCAAGAGTTTCCTGGAACTTCTAACTTTTATGAAGTTGCTGCTATTATAATTGAGCGAGTTTCACTGTTGACTACCAAAATATTTGTTGACTGAGAGAACTCATAAGCATATTATGGTTTGAAATAAATTTATTAAAGTCAAATTTGATGATTTTATTTAAGTAGAATTGGATAAATTCTACTGCATTTATTTTGTTGCATTTATTTGCTGCTTGTGCTGATAGTGTTGATTAGGGCCTGCTTAAATTCGGAAGGCGATCCCTTTGTTGAGGGAAAACTATATTTAATTTCGCAAATTTTGAATTGTCAAGTGAATCGATCAATCAGTTGAGCTAATTCATCACAGTGCTATATTCATTTCCATGAATTTTTTTTGCTGGACTGAATCGCATGACAGCTCTATCTTAACATTTCTACCAAAAAAAATATTACAGTAAGAGGAAACTTGTAAATCTCTCCAGTGGTTTATTGACATTATCGTGCATATTTACAGGAGAAACTACGAATAGCTGTTCTGGTTTCAAAAGCCGCATTGCAATTCATTCAAGGTATTGTGAATTTTTTTTCCTAGCTTCCATGAAGCTTAGCATAATTTTTGCTGTATCGTACTTGATTTGATACTCAATACTAGTGGCAGCCTCCTCCGGCATTCTACCACGCAGCGACTACGTTGTTCCTAATGAGGTGAAGGCAGCTGGTTTCGACATAGATGCGGATGAGTTGGGATCCATTGTTGAAGGCCATGACTTGAAGAAACTGAAGATTCATGGCGGCATAGAAGGTATTGCAACGAAGCTTTCTACGTCAACAGAAAGCGGGCTTTGCTCCGATGAAGATAGACTGAAGCGCAGGCAGGATGTCTTCGGTATAAATAAGTTTACCGAAAGACAACAAAGAAGCTTTTGGGTGTTTGTATGGGAAGCGCTTCAAGACACCACTCTTATGATTCTCGCCATGTGCGCCATTGTATCTCTCGTCGTCGGCATTGCCACAGAAGGATGGCCGAAAGGAGCTCATGATGGTCTCGGGATCGTTGCGAGCATTCTATTGGTTGTTTTTGTGACTGCAACAAGTGATTACCGACAGTCTTTACAATTTAAGGATTTAGATAAGGAGAAGAAGAAGATCTTCGTTCAAGTTACGAGAAATGGATATAGGAAGAAGATTTCTATTTACGATCTTCTTCCTGGTGATATTGTGCATCTAGGAATTGGTGATCAAGTACCTGCTGATGGTCTCTTTGTATCTGGTTTCTCAGTACTGATAGACGAGTCTAGTCTCACGGGGGAGAGTGAACCTGTTGCTGTAAATAGCGAGAATCCTTTTCTTTTATCCGGAACGAAAGTTCAGGATGGATCTTGTAAAATGCTTATAACAACTGTGGGCATGAGAACCCAGTGGGGTAAGCTGATGGCTACGCTTTCTGAAGGTGGCGATGATGAAACTCCATTGCAGGTTAAGCTGAACGGGGTCGCGACTATAATCGGAAAAATTGGTTTATTCTTTGCAGTAGTGACGTTCGCCGTTCTTTCTCAACGCCTTATGACGAGTAAATATCAAGAGGGCCAGTATTTTAGCTGGTCAGGTGATGACGCATTAGAGATGTTAGAATATTTCGCCATTGCTGTCACAATAGTGGTTGTTGCAGTGCCGGAAGGATTGCCCTTAGCCGTGACTTTGAGCCTCGCTTTCGCGATGAAGAAGATGATGAACGATAAAGCGCTGGTGCGCCATCTCGCAGCCTGCGAAACAATGGGTTCCGCGACATCAATTTGTAGCGACAAAACCGGAACACTCACGACAAATCACATGACTGTCGTGAAAATTTGTGCCTGTGAAAATATCCATGAATTGAACAACACGCAGAAGGATGGTAGCGTAAGATCCCTTTTTCCTGATTCTTCTGTAAAAACTATCATCGAGTCCTTATTCAATAACACCAGCGGCGAAGTTGTGAAGAATCAAAATGGAAAGCTTGAGATTTTGGGATCTCCCACCGAAACTGCTTTGTTGGAATTTGGTTTGTCGTTGGGTGGAAACTTCTACGCAGTAAGGCAACAGACTCAACTTATCAAAGTCGAGCCTTTCAATTCCACGAAGAAGAGAATGGGTGTGGTGCTTCAGTTGCCAGAAGGAGGATATCGTGCTCATTGTAAAGGAGCTTCAGAAATTATTTTGGCTGCTTGTGACAATTATATAGATCATAAAGGTAATGCTGTTCCTTTGAAGGAAGAAGCAGCAAATAAATTGAAAGAAACTATTGAGAGCTTTGCTAGTGAAGCTCTTCGAACGTTATGCCTTGCTTATATGGATATTGAAAATAATTTCGTGGCAACAGAACAGATACCCGTGTCGGGATACACGTGTATTGGAATCATTGGTATCAAGGATCCAGTGCGACCCGGTGTTAGAGAATCAGTTGCGATATGCAAGTCAGCTGGAATTACAGTAAGAATGGTTACAGGAGATAATATAAATACAGCAAAAGCGATTGCTAGGGAATGTGGCATTCTTACTGAAGGGGGTGTAGCTATTGAAGGTCCAGAGTTCAGAGAGAAGAGTTTAGACAAGTTGACTCAATTGATTCCGAATCTTCAGGTTAGATTTGATGGATTTAAAGAATAGAGAATGTTTCCATGTATCGATAATGTATTTTGAGTTGCAATTTTTTCAATCAGGTAATGGCTAGGTCTTCACCGATGGATAAACATACTTTGGTAAACCATCTACGGACTTCGTTTGATGAGGTAGTTGCGGTGACTGGTGATGGAACAAACGATGCTCCTGCACTTCACGAGGCGGATATTGGACTTGCAATGGGAATTGCAGGGACTGAGGTACATTTCCAGTGTGTAGATAATCAATATATCTATATTTTTAGACTTTTTATTTGTCATAAATAGTATATGATCCTGAATATTTTGGCCTGGCTTTATAATTTCATCATATATGGCTCACTTTCTAATGACTTTATGTATTTATGTATTTTCATCAAAATCAATTTACTTTGACTCGAGGAGGGCTTGCTTGACATTAGTTTGATTTAATTAAAATTGATACAATTGAAGTACATATACATGCATGTTATAAATAGATAAATATAATCTTATCTAGTAATATTGAAATTTATAGTTTTTTTTTAATTATAAATTTTGGGTTGACTAAAAAATTAAGTAAAATTCATCATTGTTTTACTGAACATGAGCTAGAAATCAATTTTTTTTAATTATAAATCTTGGGTTGACTAAAAAATGGTGTAAAATTCATCATTTATTTACTGAACATAAGCTAGAAATGATTTTTTTATTTTTAGTTGAGTTTGTCACACTAGACTTGACATAATAATACCCCTCCCCTAATTATGCTTAAATTATATATGTTGTCTTCTTAGAGATATCAATGATGCCTTGGATTTAATTGTTTCAAGGGCTTATGCTTGTTGTAGAGAGTGTCCTTTTGGTTTTAGGACCTAGGGATGGCAGTAGTAAGGTATATGAGTGGTGGTGAAGAGCTAAGGGTTAGCCAAATAGGACTGTTTTCCGAGATACTAGCATAGGGTTTATGAAATTAGGGCTTGATCAGAAGGTGTTGTGCGACACTTAAATGGTGTGTAGATGTTTAGTGTGACCAGAGTCATCAGAGGTCGACGTTTACTGTGACCAAACCATTTAAGGAGACTCTCTCTAATCTTGTCTACCACTAGAGCTACTCTAGCCCTTTTACGTATATATTCATTTCACATTTTGTCTCTAAGTGTAAAACCGCTCATCCACCTAAGCCTTTGTATCTCAGCCGCACTTAAATTTATGCTTCTCGTGGACATAATATGTTGCTGGAATTAATTAATAGAAGCCTCCATTTGGTCATTCACATAAGTAAAGTCAAATAAAGAAACCTTGATTAATCTTTGCAAGATCCACAAAATATTCTCTTTGCATAATATGTTATGATGATAACTTATGTGCATTTAAATGTCTCTTTGTACTCTTAAGCCTCCTATATGGTTTATAATGAAATACATAATCAAGGTATATAATACAATGCGTAACTTAATATGGACTCCATAGTTTTTGTGCTCGAGATTGTGCTCTTTCTTGATTTTGAATCCTTGAACTGATTGGGAAATGTTTCAATTTATTTTCTGAACTTTTGGTGAAAATATTTAATCAATGGAAAATTCATTACTCATAAATGTTAAATTTTGAACATTCATTTTGAATCTTATTGGGATTTAAACTGCCATTTTGTGCTACTACTTCGCCACTCTGTGTGATTCAGTGCCTAAAAAAATTGAGGTAAAGTGCTTGTGCATCTATATATATAGTAATGAATGGGTTATATTGGGTTGTGGTAAGTTAGCAGCGGTAAAATACGAACCACAGTTCTATATCATGAACTTCAGTTTGTGCCTATTGGCTTTGTTTCATATAATTCAATATCTGTTATTCATTTACATCTATTGATTCTAGTATATATTTATTTTTGTTCAATATTCCCATTTGTTCTTGATAAGCCAAAACTTTCCTGCTTGTTTATTTATTTATTTATTATTAGTATTCTTTTCCTGGAGTTTGTGTTAGAAGAAATTCTCTCATATATCTATCTAGTTGACGCTACCGTCTTAGTATTTTATATGCAAACATGCCATATAATATTGAGACAAAAGTTATGCTTTCCAAGAAACTGCTTCATATATGTATTGTTTTATTTTTATATTCATGTTCTTGTTTTTTAATTTGCCTCATATGCCGTGTTCACGCCACCATATACGCTGCTTTAGGATTCCATGTGCTACCAAGATTTTTTTTTATTATTATTTGTGCAATGTCTAGTTGATAGTGAAGGTATATAGGCTATATATGGAAGTAAAAAAACCTAAAAATATGCATTATGAAAGCATAATGAAGTTCCTTTTTACAGTAATAATTGCTTGAATCCTTGGCAAATGATGACTATTACAAGCCTTCCAAAAAGGCAATCCTAAACCATATAGATTGTTAAATACAGAATCTCAATGTTATCAGTTAAACTAGCAACATCGGGGGAACTATCTTTGTACCCGGAAACAGGCAGCCATGTATCAGAAAATCCTAGAAGCCACAACAGAACTTTGATCTTCCACTGTATCTTTTTGTTGGGGAAGATGCCAGGTGAGGGTTGGAGAGTTGACTTGCTGTTGTTTAGAGGGAAATGAATTGGATAAATGGGCTGGCCGGTGGTTGGAGTGGCTTAGATTGTTTCTGTGTTCTGTTTATTTGTTGAGAATATAATTCATAAGGGGAGAATTGAAGGAAGGTTTTGGGTAGTGGGATTTGATGAGGATTAACAAATAGTTTAAGGAAATAAATAAGCTTTATAGTTTGTATGGGAAGGGATGGCTTGACGTTTGTGTTAGGTGACCAAGGCAGTTGAATCTTACCAGCAATGTCAATGGAAAAGAATGGCAAGCATTAGCAAGAAAACTTTCCTGAGGCAGCTAAAGCAGCAAATAGAGGAGTGTAAATTATATATTTAACCTCTAAACTATATTACATAGCATTGCATACAGGTGGTTCTATAGAGTGAGTTCTTAGTAGGATTTATGCTCTGTAAACCTTCAATACTATGGTTCCAAGTGCAAACTTCAGCGACTTTTTTTATTGCTGAATCTATGTAGTTTTTCCTTTATTCGTATATATTGTTTATTGGTTAATTCATTGACGTGTGTTAGCAACCTGAACGAACAGCTGTTTGTTTTCTTACATGGAATATCTACATATCATTCATGCAATGTTTGATAATATACCTTATTTTTTATTCTCAATGCTACATCTGCTTGTAATTAACTCATAGAAAAACCAGTATTGTTTGAAATTTGTAATATTAGCATAATTCTGAATAATAATTAGTACATTGATAGCCATGCCATAACTTACAAATATGCGAGACTAAGTTTGCATTCCATCTGTAGGTGGCAAAGGAGAGCGCTGATGTCATAATACTGGATGACAATTTTTCAACTATTGTGACTGTGGTGAAGTGGGGGCGTTCTGTTTACATAAACATCCAAAAATTTGTGCAGTTTCAACTCACTGTGAATATTGTTGCTTTAATTGTTAATTTCTTGTCGGCCTGCTTTACAGGTGAACAAATACAGCTTAAATCTGTTATTTTCAGTGTTTTCAATCACCATTCTTTCCCTTCTCATAATCATGTTTTTGTTAATCCAGGAAATGCACCACTTACTGCTGTTCAGCTTCTTTGGGTCAACATGATTATGGATACTTTAGGCGCACTTGCATTAGCTACAGAACCACCTAATGATGAATTAATGAAAAGACCACCAGTTGGAAAGAAAGGCAATTTTATCACAAATATAATGTGGAGAAACATTTTGGGACAAGCGTTCTACCAGTTTATTGTGATTTGGTGCCTCCAAACAGAAGGGAAGCGGCTTTTTGATCTTGAGGGGCCTACGGCGGAACTCACCTTGAATACATTAATCTTCAACACATTTGTTTTCTGTCAGGTATATTTCTATCTCGCTATAGTTCTGTTTTGTGGTGTTATGGAGGTTTTTGGCAAAAGGTAGTTGTTAATTTAGACGCTTGAGCATTTACTTGATGCAGCATTTACTTGACAAATTTGTATGTGATTGCTTGAAATTTGAAGTAAAAAGCTGTATCTTGAGTATGAGATAGTAAATAACCTCATGCTTAGAGAAGTTTTGAGTGGGCTCATGGTGCGCTTCTCCTAAGTTGCCATAAAGCTTCTCAGAGACTTTTCTGGTGTTTGCAAGGAGAATGGCAAACTTTTCTTGAAGCAGCTTATATGGAATGAAAGCTGTAGAGAAACTAATGAAAGTTATCAGAACGGTGGAGGATGATGATTCCTCCTTTTTGGTCATCTTCTGGTTCCTTAGTGGCATCCAATATATAGAGGAGAAGTGATCAATTTAGCTATAAGCTATAGGTGAAATTGAGTGGATATGAATATATTGTCATTCGTATTTTTTCATTTGATCTCGAATTTATGTTATGAAAATAAATATTTTTTATAATATTCAAAAAATAAGAATGAATTTATTATCAAGAAGAAATTAATCTCTCATTTATGATTTCAAATAATACCATACTTCCACATAAATTGACACTAAGAATGGGGTTGCATCAGCTACTATAAATAAGGCAAAATTCGAACTTAGAGTGAGTGCTATAAGAAACGTGTTAAATTAGTAACTTCCAACCATTCCTATATTTGGATCAAGCACCTTATATATAAGTACAAAATCTTAGATTTTAGTTAAAATTTTAAAAAAATCATTATTTTTGTGTCAAGGTGATGCTGACGTCTAGCAACCAACGTGGCAACTGTCGCAAATTTGGCCGGTACTGGTTTGGTCTAGGCAAAGGAGGGACTGATTGATTAGGCATGGGTTTCCCTCCTGCTTGGAGCGGGTCCACTCCTCTTTATGCTAGATCTATAATTATGTTATTTTCCTATTTTAGGTCAGTTCTTGATTGAGTTTTTGTTAGGATGGTTGTTAGTGTCCCCTGTTTTCCCATCTAGGATTGTGTCCAAGTCCGAGTAGTGCTCTGGTTATATCTCGTTCTGAGGTGATGATACTATTCCAAGTGTTGAGTGGTGTTGTCATCACCATATCTAGTTCTTGGATGCTATATCTCGCTACCGAAATAGTATTTATCCTCGACTTTCCTCGTCCTTCGCAATCTTCCCTTTGTGCTGCCATCACCATAACTGTTGCAACCACCCCTTAGGACATTACCTTTGTTGTCGCCCGCACCCCCATACCTCCCCGCCGCCTATCTTAGCAACCTTCCAACCTTTCTACCTTGCAACCGTCAGTATCCCCACTCTTCCACATTGCTGCCACCACCCCTATCCCACTTCCACCTCGATGTGGCTGCCCCCCAAACAACAAACTGCTTCTGTTGGGACCACTCTCCCTTGCTTCCTTGCTGTTCCAGCCACCCATAATCGCAGTTGCCCTTCTTTCCAAGCCCTCTAATGACCGCTATCACTACCACCACCAAGCGCGATCCACTATAGGCGGGTGTCATGTTGTTGTTATTTTTTCTTTTTCATGTGTGGTTGTGGTCACCTATTGACTTTTTCAGTAACAATATTTATTTCCTTTTTGTGATTTGAGTTAACTCTGGTATCATTTTGTATCAAAGCTAGCATAACTCTAGTCATATCCTAGGGTTTCTAGCATCCACAGATACCCAACCACATCTCCACCTATCATAGGGTTTCTAGAATCCATTAATACTCAACCCCTTCTCCACCCAACACCCTTTCTCTTCACTGGTTTTTTTCAAATCGGCCTCCCAAAAATTTTCTCTCACCCTACCTCACCGCTATATACCCTTTCACTCCTCCGACCCTAAGCAATAATCATATCTTCGAGAAGACAATGGTCGGATAATGATCGGGTGCTTACCATGGAAGAGCTGCAATGAAAACTCCGTCGAGTGTTGTGACGACTCGTTGATATTGAGGAAAGTGGTCAGAGAGAGGTCACCGTCGAGCCTGGTTGCAAGTTCCTATCAAGAGAGAGAGGAGCACTTGAATCCCATCCGTAGGAATGATTCTAGTGGAGCAAAAAACGAGCCACAATGATTTGGGGTATTGTATTAGAGGAGGCCGAGAGATGAAGTGCGTGTTGGATGATACAGAGACTTAGGAGTGAATGTGGACATATTGAATTTCGAGGGGAGAATTAATCCAGATGACTTCATAGAGTGGTTGCAGGCCGCAAGAGGTTTTTTGAATAAAGGTTGTTCCAGATGATTGGAAGGTGAAGATTGTTGCTATCAACCTAGAGAAGAGCGGCTCGTTGTGGTGGGAGAACCTAAAGAGGGAGATAAATAGAGAAAGACGAAGCAACATAACTGCCTGAGAGAAGATGAAGAGAGAGTTGCAATGACAATACCTACGCATACACTACCGCCAGGATTTTATTTTTGAGACTCCACCACTGCAGCAGCAGAACATATCAGTGGAAGAGTACGCAATGGAGGTTATGCACCTTAATCTGAAATGTGATCTGGTGTAGCTGGAGGAGCACACGATATCCAGGTACTTGGGAGATGTGCAGTTTGCCATCGACAACTTGGTTCAACAACATCTTTACTTAGGAGGTCTGACGTTCAGACCTTAGCATTGAAGGTGGAGAGACAACAGAAGTAGAGCAAACATCCACCACTTTTCAAACAATCACTCACAGTTGGATACATTAGTAGGATCACACATGAGACAGTTGAGAAGTTTAGTCTGAAAAATAATAGAGCTACCAGTGTGAGATGTCTGATCAGAAAAATGATAGAGCTACGAAAGTGAGAAGTTTGAGAAGAGCAATACCTCCACTACCGTCCCAACTAGGAAATGTTTCAAATGCCATGATTTTGGATACATTGCTTCCAGTTGCCCGACCAGCCGAGTTGTGTCCTTCACTTAGAATGGTGCATAAGAGAAATTTGGCAACTAAGAGGTAGTATAAGAAAATGGCAGGGAGCACCAACTTCCGCTATATAAGGGCGGGATGCTTGTGGTTTGACAAATCCTATAGATCGAGGCTATGAAGGATCAGCAGTGGCTTCGCCACAACTTATTCTGCACTTGTTGTACTGTTAAGGGAAATATATGCAATTTCATCATCATTGATGAAGAGACCAACAAGTAGATATACAAATTGAGTCTCACGACTTAAAGACATTCCCAATTGTATTCCCTGAGTCAGTTGAAAATGGAAACATAGTCAGTATTGACAGTAGGTATCTTGTAGAATTTTAAATGGGAAACCAATTGTAGAATGTGGTGTGGCGCAACGTGGTGCCCACGGATGTCTGCCATCTTTTTGTTGGAGAGACCGTGACAATGTGACTGCATGAATTAGCATGATGGGTTTAGAAACACTTGTTCCTTCACCAAGAATGACAGACACATAGTCCTACTATCTGCAGAGTCTGAGATTCCAGGTGCCATTACCAGTAGAGAAGCGTCTGCAAGATCAGTTTTGATGATGACAGAGGAGAGTGAGACAGGAGGGCCGATTTCAAACATAGGCCAACTAGTACAGAAAGAGTTTTAGGATACCCTGTTCAATAGCTTACCACTATGGCCACCACCGTTCAAGGATGTTCAGACTGACCTCACTTCAGATCAGGTTCAACCAACGTGGCACACAGTCCCAGTTCAGTTCTGTAGCGTACTCCTAAAATGTTAGATTGATATGGATGGTTGCTCGCAAGTGCAAAAAATTTCTCATGTGTTTTGGGAGACAATGCAATTTGATAGTGGGATCCAGTTGCTTCAGCGGCCACAGTCGAAGATCCTTCAGTCTCGCGAGGTTATAGCAGCTCTGTCATCATCAACGTGCAGACAAAAGAATCAACGAATGAGGTCGAAGTTCTCCCAACCCCAGGAGACTGGCACGAGCATCCAGTGCTCTACGCGGCAACAACAAAGGAGGGGACCGCCGGTCCTAGGCTTGAGATTCCCTTCTATTTGGAGCAAGGTCCACTCCTCTTTACCCTAGGTCTATAAGTATGTTGTTTTCGTGCTTTAGGTCAGTTGCGTGTTACTTTTCTGTCATGACTTTCGTTGGTGTTTCCTATTTTCTCGTCTAGGGCTTTATCCTAGGGCGAGTGGTTCTCAGACTATATCTCGTTTCGAGATAGTGATTCTCCTCCAAGGGATGATTGGTGCTCTAATTGTATTTCACTCCCTCCCATCCTTCGCAACCTTCTCTCCGCTGTCGTTGTCGCCATAACTGTTGTAGCCACCCTTTGTGAGAGCACCTTTGTTGTTGCTTGCTCCCCCCATACCTCCTTGCCACTCGTCCCACCTGCCTACCAACCTTCCAGTCTTTCTACCTTACAACCACCAATGTCCCAGCTTCCACATTGCTGTCACCGCCCCTATCCTGCTTCCAGCTCTCTGTGGCCGACCCCTAAAAAACAAACTGCTTTTGTTGGGACTGTCGTCCCTTGCTGCCTAGCTGCTCCAGCCGCTCACTTTTACAAGCCCCCTAACAACCACCATCACCCGATATCCACCCTAGTCGCGTGTCGTTTTGTTATTTCCTATTTTCATATGTGGTTGTAAGTTTTTTTAGTAATAATATTTGCTTTCTTATTGTGGTTTGAGTTAACTTCAATATCAAAAGAGCCTTATGTCCTTATATTTTATTTTTATGTCTTATATATGATAAAATTTTATTTTTAGATTAAATTCTTTACATCTAAAATTACATTATTTTTAAATGAAAGATATTGTCTTGAACTAAATATGTTATATTGGAAATTGACCTTATTTTTTGGCGAGATGTCTTAAATCTATCTAATAGGGTTGGGTGGGATTATTGCTAAGTTTATATTGTATTAATTAATGGTTGGTGATGTGGCTTGTTTTTTATTATTAGCATTAACTTTTTACTAATTGCCATATGACATTTTAAGAGTCTAGGGTTCCTAATGTCATTGGAATGATGCAATTAATGTAGAGCACACAAAATTATAAAGACTTCACATATCAAGCTATAAAATTATGTTCTTTTTTTAAACTTAAATGAAACTAAATAATTATGCAGCTTATAAAATTAATCCAAAGTAATTAGTGCATATTTGAATGATGAAAAATCAACTATCAATTTACACTACAATTGAAACCCTAGTTGTGGCTTATTTGATCTAAATCAGAACACTTGCAAAACCAATAGCAAATATTTGTGAAGAAAATATATTAAAAAAGAAACCAATATGGAGAAAATTCATGTCTCACGTAGATACAATTACATATAATTCTTGGAAGTTTTCTATTGCATTTGCATGGCACTCAATTGAATTTCATTTTGAACAAACAAGCAGAATATTGAAAACATGAATTTAAAATTTTATTAATTAAGAATTATTGGATTACATGTCTCATATTACTATTTATGGACTTCTTATAGCTCCTTGATGTAGCCAAAGGTGCTTTAAGATTATCATCACAAAGAAGAAAGAGGTCAACATTCAAGCTTCTTGAGGTGGGGTAATGGATATAATAGGTTGTGGGTTAAGTTCATTGTAGATATGGATACTTCAAAGATCATACCAAAATAGTTTCTCTGGGTGGGGATGGTCATCAGATATGACATCAGGGGGTATGTAATAGTTTTCTAATGTCATGCCTAAGTCAACGGTATGTGGAATAGTTAGTGGACTACAACTATCTTTAGAAAATCAATTGTGTGTCGATGAATGGATTTGGTGGGATACGAACTAGGGTATCGTCATAGATTGTCAAGATAAGTGCATCAAAAATATTAACTGATCGGGATATCAGAATAATTCTCCAAGGTTGGTGCAACCATGGGTTGTTCACTAACTGTTAATTGGAATTACTCATATAATCATTTAATTGAAAGCATTTTCACGTTACATAAAAGTTCTCCCGTTTCTTCTAACATTCATTTTATCAACCCAAGGTTGACATAGAAGTACATGTATTACAACCCTAAAAATGATATCGCATCATTTGTGATCTTCAGAGCTATCTAGTTAATGGGAACTAGGCACCTAAATGTCACAGTATGGGATGTCTTATTATTCTAACTAATTTTGAAAAGATAAGGATAGGGTCAAGATCTAAGGTTGGCTCTTTTTATACATGTTGGTGATATAATATTTAATCTATAGACTTATCTATAGCTATCTCACTTTTTTCCTCATTAAAAATTGCGTGGATTCAAATGATGTTACCTTGTCTACATTCTCTTGATTCAAAAGCATATTGGATTTTAGTTAAAGTTGCGATCCCTTGATTTAGGGTTTTATGATCATTGCTAAACTCTTTCATCGTAGTGTTTAATGATTCATAGATGTCATTTCAATGATCTGATACAAGCAACAATGTTGATAGGCATTTTATTATTTTTTAAATTATGTTGTGTACTGAACTAATAATTAATTATGTACAAAAAATAAATTCCTAGGCTTCAATTAATTGCGACACTAATTTTTCCATTATGACTATAAAGATATTCACCTATGTGTAACCCGTAATCATTCAAGTTGCTAAATATACCCTGAATGCCATAATTTTATTTTCACATTCAAATGGCAGGTTATTTTTCAACTGAAACATACTTTTCAAATATAGAACATTCAAGGAAATATAGGTTGTCAGCTCAAGGTGAATGATTAAGCTATATAGTTGAGGTAATAAGACAGACATCAATAATTAAATTGTAAGTTTGCCAATTGATTATGTATGTGATAACCTAACACATCTATTGCAGTTACTAGAATAAACAGTCATAAAGTTAAGAAGGGAGATATTACCCCTTGTTGGATGATATATCCACCAATTATAAGTACCAATGGTTCAAAATTCAATTGTGTCTTGCTTTTTATGTTGAAATTTTCAATGTCTAGGCTTTTACTGTGATACAAAAGTTGGTTTAACCTCGGTTGATGGGTGATCTTAGTCCTTCAATTGCTATTATAAGATGCTAAGGATGATCCTTGTGCACTACCAGGAAATCGGCCTTGAATTGTCTTTTCACGGAACAAAGAGGCACAAAGGTTATATCAAATTGCAATAGCATTATCAACCACCTTGATAACCTACCGAAGTGTCGGTCGAGTCATCAAATATTGAAATGAATTAAACCTTGAAATAATGTTAACCTTATGAGAAAACATGTAATTTCTAAGTTTTTAAACTGCAAAGATTAAAGCTAGACAATGTTTCTCAAGTGGAGAATACTTTACCTCAATTGGAATTTGATGATAACTTATATAATATATAGCATTTTCCTTACCTAGGTCACTGACCCGAGCTTACAAGGCTCCGATGAAATCGTCTAAAGCTGCAGTATAAATTATCAATGGTCTATCCAAGATAGGGGCTGCTGGAACATGTGTTATCAAATACTATTTTATGTGTTCAAAAGCATGTTGATATTTATCGTCCCAAATAAAATTGGCATCTTTCTTGGTCAACACAATAAACTGCTGGCATCTACTCAACATGTTAGATATAGTGCGACTTAGATATGTCAGCTCTCCTTAGATGGTTGAAAGAGTTTTATTTGAGGTACTTGTCAAGAGAAGAGAAGAGAGTAGGTCGATCAAAATCTTAGGAGAAACCACCTATAGAACTCTCCGTTGGGTTTCCACATTTAGTGTTTCTTATGATGGAGCTTCTAGGGTTTGAACATTTGGGAAAGCAAAAGATAATATCCTTAGATGTGTTCTAAATTATTCGTTAAAGTTCTAAGTGGTTTTGAGGCCAAAGGATGGAGAAATATCAATTTATCTTAGTTGGATAGATTTGACTAGTCTAAGAAGAGTGTATTAGTGGAAACACTAAGTGTACGGAGGGGCTCGAATGACTTTGGTATGTTAAGGGAACGTGTAGAGATCAGATCGTATTTGACGAAGATCTAAGGAATTCAGAGGGTGATGGGGGAGAGACGGCCAAAATTTGATCACTCAAAGACCTATTGTGGCTGATTGCTTATGGAGGAGATTCTGATTTGTTTGATGGCTGTAGGGGCAAGGGAGTAGTCTTGGGAGATGAGGGAGTTGATGTTGGTAGGAATGGGGAAGGGAGAAGACCGACCAACAATCAACTAAGGTTATTACTTGGTTCTTCACCTAGAAGAATCCAAGCAAGTAATCAGTCTCCAAGTACACAACCCAAGAGAATGACTTCTAAATTTTTTATTAAGCATGAACACTTTTTCCTGATTTATTTCGGCAATATATAATCTATTACATTCTACTTTACAATTTAAAATAATTTTTTTAAAAAAAAAGAGTAAATAGGAAAAAAGTAAATCTTGAAAAGGATTGGGACCACTATACAATTCTATCTCTATATGAGGTGGATGATTACTCTTTTACTCCTTGTTTCAAACTCGTTTAATAATAATTAAAAATGGTAAATCCAATTAAAGGGCCTCCTACTTGGAAGGTAAGTTTGTCCTTTTAAAAATACAAAATTTTAAGCATAAATCATCATTATGATTTAATTGTTTTTATATCAGAAAATTTTCATTTATGACAAATGGTGTCCTCTTAGCCCTTTATTTAAAGTTTTAATCTTGATCTTATGATGGGGGCCATTATAATTGCTCGATGTTTTATTCTACATCACTTGTAAGATTGCCCTTATAGGGGATAACTAAAATCATGATTATGAAGAGAACGATTTATAAATTATAAACAGACTAAGGAGTATGATCCAAATCCACAAGGCCTGGTGGACAAAGGCTGCAGGATCACCTGCACGAAAACAATAAGAGGACGGACTCTGTAGACCCGAATGAGGAAGCTATGGTGATGGGATTGAACCAGAGAGGCGAAGCCACTGAAAAGTCAAATTGGAGCAGGAACCCGCTTCAACAGGGTTGAATTAGAGTAGGCAGCCATGGTGATAGGATTGAACCAATGGATAAAGAAGTTGCAAACAAAACCGAACTAGAATTGGAGCTTAGTAATTATAATCTAAAGTTTTAGCATGTACACACACATCTTTATTTGCTCCTAATTTTATTAGCAATTTGTTTGGCTCTTTCCATCAAGTATGGGCACATAGGCAATTGTTGAACATAGGTGTTGCGCGCACACGCGCGAATAGAAGCACAAATGTGCTGCACATTCGAGCACCACAATGAATTATTGTTTTATTTTTAAAACTGAAAAGTTATCAGTAAGTAGAAAAAAAATTTAATCTTCTCATGTTCTCATAATGTACTTATCTATTCATCTCTTGCTGATTTGGTGAGAATTTAATGCAGGTCTTCAATGAGATTAGCTCCAGAGAGATGGAAAAAATTGATGTGCTTCATGGCATCCTACAGAACTACATCTTTGTAGGAGTTGTCACAAGCACTGTCATCTTCCAACTCATAATTGTACAATTCCTTGGTGATTTTGCCAGCACAACACCTCTTACACTATGGCAGTGGTTCGTTACTGTGTTCATCGGCTTCCTGAGCATGCCCGTTGCTGCCGCCATTAAGTTGATTCCAGTTGAATCAAACTGAAATCGTGCCTTGGAGACCTTAATTTACTTGAATCCGAGCTCAAAATTCTCAACAAAATAGAAAAAGATCATTCATATTTTCAAGATAGATGTTTCAGATTTACTTATTTTGATTCATTTCAATGTATCTGCAGATAATACAGTAGTCTTTTTTGAGGCAGAGAAACAGATGGAACCAAAAGGTCAGATCTCTTCGCTGGCCTCTGTGCTACCTCTCTGGCTGCTCTGAAACTGTATAATAGGTGGACCACAAGCTTATTTTTATTTTTTTTTTTGTCCACAACTCCTCTTTTTTTTTTAGCTGATTTGCTTAATTCTGTCTTATTGTACCCTTTTCGTTAGAGTAATCATTTACTTTTGGTTTCTTGTAGATTTCCATTAGTGTTTATGTGCTAACATATCATATCATATGTAAACAGTTTTATTTGAATATTTTTATGCTTGCTTGATTCAAAATGGCAAGCTGTTTTTTCTTCAATTTTGAAAGTTTTCAAACGGAATTTGCTTTCTTTGAATTTGAGCATTCAGTGGTTCAGATTAAGATCACTTTTTATAATGCAAAGCAGTTTCATTTTCTTATTGATGGAATGTTTCCAAGGCAATGCTTACTTCATTGAGTTTCAAAAAAAAAGTTTTAAATGGCCAAAAGTAACATCTAATGCAATTTTGTACTAAACATATACTAAAATGTCATGGCATCACCTAAGAATATCATTGAAATATGTGAATAATGAGTGTGAATAAAGATAACTCAAGAGCCGGCTCAACTCTATTATTGGCTCGTGAACTAATCTCGGCGAGTTAACAAGTCAACCTCAAGCCAACAACAACTTGACTAATTAGCTCGTGAGAAGGCTTATTTAAAAAATAATTAATAAAAAATATACATAAAAGATGTTAAAATTAATAATATTTAATAACTAATAGTTTACATTTTATATCAAGTAATTTCTTGTTATTATCATATAAATAAGTATTATATTTATCATTTAATTGTAACAATTACTTAAATTTATAATTTTTTTTTTCTTTCATGCTAAACAAGTTGTCTTGTAAGTAGATTCAAACTCGTAAGCTTAAACTTGAGCTCGAATTCGAATTGGCTTAAATTGACTCGTTCACAATCCTATGTGTGTTAGCCAATGCACATCACATTCATGGGAATATAAATGAACTTAAAGGCTCGAGTTTTTTTCAAAAAAAAAAAAAAAATTTGTTTGTTGTACGAAAAAAAATAAAAAATCAGTTCATAAAAAAGATTCAAGTGCTCAAAAGTAAAATTTAAGTCAATTTTATACCAAATACTTACTTAAATGCCACCGTATTACCCCCACCAAACTGTTATAACTTCACAAGGGAAATCAAGACAAGGTAACCTGCAGCATAACAGTGAATTATTACAAGATATCAAAGGCACGAGCAAATAAGACAAGCCTATTATTTTTTATTTCATTTTATCCTCTCTTATTTTTTCTATATAAAACTGAATTAAAAAAAAAAAACAAAAAAATATGAATATATCTAATAAACCCCCACATCAGCACATAAAATGCCAAACAGCCCTTTGCAGTGATCTTCCCATCTCTTAAGTCAAACCTTATCCCACATTAAGAAATATGCATGCAATATATTAAATTAAGGGGCTCCAATCTCGAAATGAAACATAAAAACTGGAGCTCATATGCTTATTTAATTTGAAAAATAGCTCACATTAAATAAAAAATTATTGAATTATTGCTAATGTTTTATTGAATATCTAACTTCTTATGGATTAAATAGTTCATGTATAGTACTCTAATTGGTTGACTCATTGCCATTCCATCGCACCTTCCTTCTGTCTAATCGTAGTGATGTAAATCAATTTATAGCATAAGAAAACAAAATAAATAAATAAAGTTTAAAATAGTGAGTAATATTTGCATACATACTACTTAACTTTTATGTATTTACATATCTAACACCTGAACTTTAATTTTTACATATATACCACTATGAATAGAACTAAATTGAGCTTTGAAAAACATCTGCTTCAACTACTCTATACCTTTTTCAATTTTTAAAAAAAAAATGTAAAATCAATGTGAAATTCTTTTCTTCTGGTTAATTGATTCTTCCGTACATTCTACATTTATACATTTATTAGGCAAAATGCACTTCAACCCCTATGGCCAATCTCATTTGCACACATAACCCCGTTCTAATTTGTATAAAATATCAAATTGATGCTTACACCCCTTAAGACATTAATAAAATATTCAAATATTAATATAATAAATTATTCAATCACATGTGGTTACGTGTACGTTTTTAAAATACAAAAGGTTGAAGTCTTTTTTCGTTGTTTAGGGCCCATTTGGGGCAGCTTATAAGTGCGGGCGGCGTACCGTTTGGTTCACTCGTTTCGCCAGCTTATTTGAAATCGTGTTTGGGTTTTTACACTAAACTCAGTCTGCAGGTTGAACCATGTGGCCCGCCCGCGGGCCGCGTTTCAGGATAAACAGCATATCCTGAAACGCACAAGCTGCCCCAAGCGCACCCTTAGCGTATATGGGTAAGAAAATAATAATAGAAAAAGAAAATAAAGTGCAAATAAAGCAAATCATTCTTGGGGTGAAGTGTAATTTACTCAAAAAGAAAAAGAAATTTCTAAGAAAATGTGCAATTACACATGTTGCACTACATTTAAAAAGCTTGAAAGATTTACATACATACCATTCAATCTTTATGTATTTACATATCTAAAACCCCATATATACTTTAAATTTTTACATGCATACCATGTTACCTATGCATGAAAAGATGCATTTCACATTTCAATAGTTAAAATGGGTGTTTTTATGATGTGGTATGAAAGATTTGGATGGTATAAATGTAAAAAGTAAAATTTAAGAGTTAGATAGTACAAATACATAGGAATTGGGTGGTGTCTATGTAAATGGTTCAAATTTTAAACAAGAAGTCTCAAAACAAATTAAGCGTGGATTTTATAAATGCAAAAGAAGGTAAAACAAAGGGACCCATATTATCTCCATAAACTTCAGTTGGTGCAACATGTCAGCAACACATGATAAGCTGCAACCTCCTTTAAGAGGCACCAACCCATTTTTCTCATCAACAAAAAACAAACAAATAAATAAAAATAAATAATGTATGCACAAATACAGATATATGAAATTTTTTGTCAAAAAATTTTCTCACTAAACTGTGAGCAAATGCCGAAGTTTCTCACTAAACTGTGAGCAACACAGATCAAGCTCGTCTGTCAAAACGATTGAATTGAGTCCTTTTTGCCAGAACAGTTGATACGATCATTTCCATCTTCGTCGAGAAAATAACTAGCATTCCTATAGGAGAGTAGCAATTTGAGGTACTCATCATGACCTATAAGTACGCCCTTAAATCACTTGTTAAAGACGTCGCTTGACATTGGGAACTTTGGGTCTGTTTGAGGCAGCTACAACTTATTAAAAAACAGCTACGAAATTGCTGAAAAATAATCTTATGTTCAAAAAGTTTTTGTGTCTATTTTTTTTTTTTTTGGAAAAAGTAATACCGCAGCTAGAAAACTGCCACCACACCTAGCCAAGACCGGTGGAGAAATGCAGATTTCAGCAGTAACCTTTTAAAAACACTGTCAAAATGCAGTTTACCAAGACAGACAGAACTACGGTGCAGTGTCGCACCTCAACTGCACCGCCGCCTCAAACGGACCTTCACCCAGATATCGAAGATAGTTGTCGTACTAACAATATCTGTTATTAACCGGCAAAAATACAACGTCTTTTCTTCGGTTACATGTATTCACGAACAATACCGACCCTACGTCCTAAATAGCATTCAACATATAAATAAATAAAATAGGCATTGTTCTTTAATCCATGGCTTAGCTTCACATGATCTACAACAAGACAGGGATCATCATTTCACTGAAGGCTATAAAAGTAGAAATGTTGACCGGGTCAAAGCTAGATATATCCGACTTCAAATCTTTCTTCTTGGGCTTTGAAGACAGCCGAGCTTTGTTTACTGATTTCTATTTATTTGGGGGCGTAAAAGAGATGGTTCAGCTCTTCGGATATGAGCAGAGCACAGCATAACAATGGCCTGCATAAATTCGAACTGCACTGGTCAAGCCCTCCTATTTTTCTATCATTTTCTCGTTTACTGCTGCCGACACATCCAGCTAGCAAGACACCTCCCGCTTACTTCCAAGAAAGTTCATCTTTGAAATCATCATATTTATCAATCTTATATATATATATATAGGTATTTATGTGAGTTTCTCTGGAGAAAGATTTGTCAAATTATATATGTTGTATGTGTTATAAGTGTATTTTGTGCAGTCCAGATACATCCAGGCTCTGCTCATAAATTATAAGAAATATTTTTACTAGAAAAGATCCTAATTAAGAAAAAGTTAATTGATGCATGCAGTATATCATCATCTAGTTATGCGTTTAATTTTGAGTCATTTGGAAGGTATTGCAATTTAAAAGCACAGTTATGTTCCATGCTATTGGAATCATTAATTGAAAACTGATGCATCTGATTGATGATTAATAATCTAAAATATTTTTGAATTTATGGCTTAGTTTTGTGGTGTTAAGGATAATGAATTTCTTTAATCCAATGTTTGATAGTCATAGAACTTCTAAATTTAGTTGGAAGTGAAATAAGATTATCCTTATATGGAGGAAAAAAAATCCATCACACACATAAATATAAAAAGATATCTATTTTGGCTCTTAAATCTGTAGAATTCATACAATTTTGAGTTTGATGAGATTTCATAAATCCGACGACAAATCCTATTCAAAGGTGCTACAGAACATCTCCTTTTCGATCCCAAGTCAAAAAACAAGCAAACCCATGCACAAGAGTTAAAGAGCTTAAGGTTCATCATAGGATTGAATTGCACATTACAAGCATTAAATTAACATTCAGATTGTTGAAACAGAATCTTTTATTGCAAAAATGAAAGGTGCTGAATGAAAATAAAGGATTGCTATAAAAGCATATTTGTGATTTGATGCCTAAAAAGGGAGCACAGGAAGCACCATTTTCCTTTTCCAAGAAGATCCAAAAGAAATCAAATCAAATAAATCTTTTTTACACTGCAAACGCAACCCCAAGCACAGGCAAAACACTGTGTTCAAAGACATCTCCAACCTTTTCAGAGAAAAGAAAGCATCCAAAGCAGCCACAAAACTTCATCAGAGGAGGTCATGAGACTGTCAAAGCACTCAGCCCACTCACCATTTCAGAAATAAATTCATGAATGAATGATAAGATTTGTGGACCTTAACCTCATAATCAAACACTATTCCCTTCAGTTTTTGTTGGCCTTTCAGCCTTTTTTTTTTCTTCTTACCTCTTCAGTCAGCTTTTCTTTTTTTTTTCTTAAAACAAGACACATCTTATGTAGTGCTAAAAAAACTGCACCAGGCTCTATTGACACATGAAAGTATGTGTAAAAGTGCACTTTAATCAATTTGAAACTTCTGCAACTTTCTTCTCTTATTGCTATTGCTAGCAATGGAGGAACTGGAGCTGACATCAACAAAGTTGTCTATGGTTGATTCTAACAGCTCGGAGGAATCAGGTGAATTTGATATTATTGACCTCTTATTCGATTCCCAAGTCATCAGATTGTAGCATGAATATACAAGTTCCTGAAGTAAATTAGATTTAAAACATTAGTAATTTTATACTTTTCCCATCCATTTAAAACTGAATGCTTTTATCTTACTGTTTCCAGAAGTCCTGAAGAGGAAACTAATTTCATTCTAGACTCTAGAGCTTTTATTGTTAAGTTCTGATCTGTTGCAGCTAGAACAGCAGCAGCAGCTATCACTGAAGCTCGAAATTCCACCAAGTTGATCTCTGGTTTTGATAATAATATATACAAATAGATGCAGAGATTCTCAATTACATATAGAAGCTGAAATATATGGAGTGAAAAATGCAAAATAACTAACAAAACCACACCTTTAAGGATTGAAAATATGAAACTGATGGATTTTGAGAGCAACTCCTTTGAAAAGTTCTTGCCATAGAGCTTATTAGCGAAGTAATTAATATAAGGAAGTGGAGTCACTGAGCTCATGCGCCAATCCAATGTGCTCAAGACAAGGAGCTCCATTCTTTGGATAGTAATGGAATCAAAACAGCACTGTCCTGTCTGATAATCCATTAATGCAGGAGAACTAACTTCCTCCATTTTTGCTGCTAATGACAGACATGCTAATGCTAACAACTGTCGTGCCCAAGACTTCTCATCCTGAAAAAAATGCGAACTTTAAAAAAAATACTGAAGTAAAAAGACATGGGTTTTAAAGAAAAAAAAAAAAAGCTTTTTTAGCTTACATCAATGCTTCGTCTCATCAAAAAACGATCAAAATAACAGACTGCCTGGAACACAGTTTGGGGGCTGAAGCCGAAGCATTCTTTCATCTGAGAAGCAAGCACTAGTTATCATAGAAATGATAAGAAAAGATTGAAAGTGTGGTGCAAGTGATTATCTTAAAAGCTAAGAAACCTTTAGAATCCATTGGATTGCTTCGCAGCGAAGCCATTTGTTGTTAAGGAACTCAATATATGTGCATTCAGTGTTGTTTTCTTTGGATATTAGAATCTCTATGTAGTCCTCCTCTGTATCTAATAAATGCAAGGAGTCAAAAGAAGGCTGAAGCAGTTCCTGCTCTTTTATCTCCTCATCTTCAATAGAGAAAGATTGGTCTTCATGGCAGATGAGTGTGGTTATGGGAAGAGAGCAAGCAGAGCCTTCCATTGTTGCTCTTTTCTTTTGCAATATCTGAACACACAACTCCATTTATACTGTTCCAATGAAGCCTTTCTTACATTGTAGCTGAGGCCATCAGATTTGAGATGGACGGCTAGGGATGAAAGATGTGAGTTTGATTCTTTCCGGGCAAAAGCAAAGAGTTGGTTCAAATTGTGCACATTATTTGCCTTTTATTTTTCCCAGAAAAAGCTTCCTACGCAGTACTTTTTTGGAGCAGCTCTACATAAAGATGAGTATTCCTCGGTATAATTTGTTTCCTTGTCTATATGGAACAAGAGATCAGTTAAATTTCATTTTTTAAAGTTTTTTTTCATGTGAAAATTTGAACTCTTATGCCTTATTATCTGATCTAGGCATGTTTTGTATCATTCAACCTACTTTTATTTTTTTTGCATTTGAAAATTTTAACTTGAATTCAGTCCCTAGTGGTCCTACTTCCCATGTGCACAAGAAATTTGTGTTTTTTATTATGAGAAGGCACAAGTACAAAATAAGCATGTCTTTCATCACATTAATTTTTGTTTTGGTACTGTTTCATAGTAGTGAATAACAAGAGAAAAACAACTAAACTTGAAGAGATCTTACTTTAATAAAATATGAAACAGTTTTTAAACAAAGATTTATGTGTTTGTACCATACGATTCTTATTGCAAAATTTCAAATAAGAAAAAGAAAAAAATATATATGAATAATGATATGTCATTAACAAATTTTATTTCTTGTCATGATACTTGGGCTAATTAGCACATATATTAGAGCCTTTTTTGAGAAGAAAATATCCACTCAAATTAAAATCATTCAGAACTCTCGCCAAACTTATAATAAAATTGATCAACTCGAGAAGATGGGTCTAGTGACTCCAAAGTTAGTCTAACCTGAGTCAAATCACACTAGGATCAATCTGTTAAGTTGCCTTTGGAAGTCTAGAGCTTATGGACGTTATCACAACTCACTATTACAACCTATATGATAATCTCCAACCAATGTGACTCACAACTCCGTACTACGACTTCTATGGTCAATTGACGCTATTGAAGCAACTATCTATAACCCACGTAGATAACTACTATCATGACTTTCAGCTTTGATTTTTACAACAAGTTGATGTTACAACCACTTTCTACAATATTAACGGTGGACAACTGCCTCCATATAGTAATCGACTATGATACTTGCAACCCATTATAGCTATAATTGTTGAAATACCGTTATACATCAACTTTGTAATTTTACTTTCCCAAACTCAAGAGAAGAGTGGGCCTTTATACTCGCCATCAAATAGTGAATTATTTCAACTGTGCTAAGTCCTGTGATTTTTTCTCATTTCCAGTGTTTTTCACATAAATTTTTTTTGTGTCTTTACCTGTAATTTTAATTACCTTAATGTTTGTTGGATTTTTGTGTAACGCTAAAATGCTAAATAATCACTCCACAATCGTAGTCCTTCCGGCATGCATCAAATATGTTTCTAATATGTCAAAATGACAAGAAAAAAAGATTATTTTTATAAGTATGCCTATAAACAATTTACCATACTTCTAAAGTTTATATATATATATATATATATAATATTTTTGTAGACATTTTGACAACAACCAGTTTGTACTTACAGTATAGTAAGATTCGACTGTTCTTAATTAAGTGATTGTAGATGCATTAACTCAAACTGTACCTCAAATCACTTCTTAATTGCATAAATCAGACCTTTTTAATTAAAGCAAAGAATATTAGGGGAAGAAGCTTAGATTATAAAATTGAGGTTCTCAATGCCTGACTGCAAATGTACAGCAGCATGCATACAGCTGGAATCTCTCCATAACTATGGCATGCCCTTTGCCAACCAAAAAAAAAAAAGACTCGGATCTCTGTGGGAGCTTCTTCTTCAAATTCATCTCTCAAATACTTAAATGTTAACTATTTCCAAGAAAAAAAATTAAATTAGGACTTTTATATTTCATGAATCAGCAATCACTGAAATTACAATTTTTCAGTGATAAGTCAAGTCCTTCGTAAATATTTTATAAGAAGGCAATTACATACATAACAGTCGAAATATTGCTATTTACAAAACTGTCACCATCTTTCATCTATTTTTCAAACTCTCACTCATGTTCCAAATTTCAAAAGAAAGCCCAAACTCATATTTTTTTTTTACTTTTTCTCAAATTCCAAATAGTTTGATCCTGACACGCACAAATACATCAATTCTATAATTAAAATAAAAAAAAACATATGTGCTGATTTTAAAAATAACAATATTCCAAGTGTTACTTACATAATTACTTTATGTTCTTAAGGCAAGAGCCATGCATTACTTTTAAAAATAGCTTATGTTCTATAACTTGTTTGTGATGAATTAATGCACAAATTCATCTAATCCAACATTCAGATGGCTCCTCCATTCTTTTTATACATTTGCATATTTAACACTGACACTTTACTTCTTACAATCATATCGCCCAAATCATTCATATCAATATCACTGAAATACAACTTTTCATGAATAAATGTAAAGTTACGGTTTAGATGTAAGATATGTAAATGCATATGAATAAAGGGGTATGTGATTTGCTTCAGAGAGGAAGCATTAGATGTATTTTGCTGATGCTATAATGCAAAAGAAATGAAGGTAATAAGTACCAGCACATTCACATTTGACCAAACTAGGGTTCACATGACAAACTAAAATTTACCTACACTTATAATAAGAAAAAAGAAATATAAAATATTTATGTGATGAACAATAATAGTAGCAAAGTGAATGGCACACTGTTTTACATGAAAAACCCTGAACAGAAAAAAAAATTGGTAAAAAAAGATTTTTTGATGTAATTTATCTTAATCTTTTTGTTGAGAGCTTGGTCTTTCGACCAAATGGTCATGAGTTTAAGAGAAAACATATGTGGCGTGTGTTTTTTTTGCAATTAATTCATTAATTTTTTTTTCATACACTTTATTATGATTAAAACTAACCTTAAAAAAGATATCATTGTTGGCATCCACTTTTGATGTGACACACACGGGTCATCTTGGGTTCTATACCGTCACGACAGTGCTTCGAGTTTATTTTTATTAGACCGGCATAGCCTTTAGTATCCTCAACAACGACGCTCGTCCCTGTAACACAGGGTCGTATTCTGCTAATATGGACATTTTTCGTGGCACAGACCGTCGACTAGAGTACCACGCACCGTGTTCAGATTTTAAGTCCAAGTCCCGGATAGACAAATTTCATGCTGAAATCGGTTTGCTCGACAATACGTAGATGGTTCAGCCTATCGGACTCTGTTGAGACTCATTTACGGTCCCTACGGAGGTCCAAGGATGATGACCTGCTCACATTCGATTCTTCTGAGGTCCCACAAGGCCCGGACCTTGGCGAGTTTCTCCGGAAGCTCAATTATTCTGGGGACCGATATGACCATGTTTACATAGTGCTGTGACCATGACTAAACCTGGCGTGGGCATGCCAAGGTCACCCCAAAATGCCCAAATGAGTTATAGTCAGCGTGACCACTCCAGAAGGTACGAGCACGTGTTATGAGGCACCAGACTGACTGAACCCTGTGACAGGGACCAGGAACTGTTTGCTCATGTCTCGTAACTTAATTCTAAATTTCATTTATGTATAGAATTAGGACTGGATATGTAAACATGATGTCCAAATGCCTTTTTTTCTTTTCTGGGATTTGTTGTCGACTGAGCGAAAACGACCTTTTGTTATATTTGGCAAGCTTTTTTTCCTACTTTTCTTGCACATGTGCATGCTTGGATTGTTTTTATTGTTTTTTTCTAGTTGCATGGGATGTTATGGAAATTAAAACTTAGGCTCTTCTAAGGATCACAAAATTATAAATTTTCTAACTAATAAAAATTTTAAGATTTAACCAAAATTTAAGATTAAAAGATTCAGGACTTTTAAAACCTTATTTTACTATCTTGCATGACATTCGGGCTCGTTTTAATATAGGTTGCATGCATTGTTATATCTCGAGTTATAATAATAGGGCTTCAACATTATAACCATAATAGATAATTGAATTATTCTACATGTCCCGAGGAGAAGTCTCCGTGCTTCTCTAACCTGATTGACAGAGCATTGATTTATATTTAAATGATTGTCTAGTGTGTTTAGGGTGTTAGTGGCTTTTCCGACCCAGACGGAAAGTAAGTCCCATTATTGAGAGTGTTTCCAACTTTATTGTTGAACCTCCATTTCTCTTGCTTTCTAGTTGCATTCTTACCACTTCGACGGATATAATTTCCACCTCTTGGAGCACCACCTGACTGTCATAGGATAGAGTTTTGTTCCTTTAATGTTAAAACTACCCATGTTACCACAAACAACACAACTCACGGATTATTAACCAGGATCTCTGGATATATTGGGTCGACTAACTTTACGACTAGGTAGACTTAGGGTTCTAGTAGCTTAAGAAGTCAGTTTTGTAGTGTCTCGAGTCAACTTCCTTTACTTGTTGGGGATTACTCCTCCCTTCCTTTGACTACCCACTTTGAGCTCTATCACTTCTCTTGTTGTCGTTAATATTATCTTAACGATCTGATTGCCGATGTGCTGCCGCTACGATTTGACGATTTGTCATCAGTCCTTATGGCCCGGATGTGTTTTGATATATTGGGATTCTCTATCAGGATGATTCGATTGTTTTGCATGCTCTGTATGCCAATGAATTTGTTACCCATGCAAGACTATGAGAGACTCACTCTCCACCCCATAACTTAGCGTAAGCTTTGAAAGCATCGAAGCATTCCCCAAAGAAATAACAACCATTTGATAGGCATGTGCTAGTTGTCACTTCTAATGTAAGCAAATCTCCATGAATCAAGAGTTTTCTTGGGCAACCCCCGAGATGTAATTAACTAAATGAGATACGTCCCCTTAGGAGCACTCTAGACTACAAAACATTCAAAAACAACTGAATCTTTTGTTGTGGGTGATCTACGTAAGTATTCTTTTGCAGATATTGGTCCAAGGTGCTTACGCCTGATCTTATTTAAGTGAACATATTTGACCAATTCTTGTGATGTTTATCGCACGTAGTCTCTCCACATTTTTTTTCTCTTGTTTGTCATCTTAATCATAAGTTCGTCTTTTTCGGTTTCTCCTGATCATTCACATGATTTGGAAGAAAGAATTAATCGGAAAAGGGAAATATGCGATGATGAACAAACT